GAAGCTAACCTGCCAAAACACAATGCCTTTCTAACTGCTATTTAATGTGATCTGTTAAAAAGCAAAGCAAAGCAACCAATCAAATAAATAAAAGCAGAAGCATATGTAGTATCTCTGCCTCAGTGCCCAGGCTTCCATTGCTGCTCATCATCTTATTCTCCTTCTTATTTATTCACAGTTCACTGACCAGATTACACAGCTGCCAGCTCCTCAGACTTCTGGGGAAAGCAAAGTAACCTTTATATGAGTCAAATGTGCAAAATTAAGGAATTCTGAAGAAAAAAAGAAAATCAGCTTTCTTATGTATGCTCTACATTTCTTTTCTGATTTTCAATTAATAACTTACGTATAGAAAACAATTTTTTTTTTTTTTACTTAGGCAATATCTGAGTAGCCCTAATTTACTTGAATATATTCAGTGTGTAAGTTTATATATCTTCGTATGAATTCTCTGTTGATTGGGTGCAAATTTTCAGCATTTACATTGAACACAAGTGTCAGATCAAATAGAATTATTTCTACTTTTCAAGTTATGAGCACACATTCATATGTCACATGTTAATTTAAATTGCAGTATTTTAAATTGTGAAATTCTCACTTTTTCTGAATATCTTTCCTCAATCGCAGAACACAGAAGCAACTGCACAGATAGTAAAAGAAACCATTAAATCCCTCACCATAAATGTTGGGGGTTTTTTGGTTGTTGTTTTTTTTTGGGGGGGGAAGAGGGTTTGACTCACATAACTATTTAATCGACTTTTCTTCCCAATAACATAAATTTGCATGCAAGGAAAGTTAGCTAAACAAGAGAAATTAGAGGTTATCTTTTGGCATTGTGTAATCTTGTAAGGGGAAAAAAGTACTCTTAATTCCAAAGCAAACAAGAAGCTACGATGACTTATTACAGTCACACGTCTGTGCCTCCGCTTATGTGCTCGCACTGGGTAAATACACTAGATCATTCTCTGTTTAAGATGCAGGGAACATAGTTCTGTCCTACTTTGTCAAGTACACATTCTTGTTCATAACAGACAGCTGTCAAAAAGACAAAAGGCTGGTTACTCAGCTAAGACAAATTAATACAGTTAATTTCCAAGTCAGTGGGATTTTCTGATAGCAAGATTTTGGTACTGCCCCATTTCTATTTCCAATTTGAACTTCTGTGAATCTTGGTCCAAAGCCTTTTTTGTCTTTACAGAATTCCTAACTATGATTTCTCCTAAGGACTCATTATACTCTGAATTCTTTCCATCTGGGCTTGTATTTTTTTGTTACATGTTTAACTTGGCTTCCAAATGATAATGTTGGCATTCATTAGCAAGATCTTCTAATTTCAGACATTCAAGTGCAAATTTTTAATAAAATCTAAACAGGAAGACAAATAGCACAGAAACGGTCATTAAAATGTTTCCATTTGAAATAAAATGATCTATTTAATGTGTTAGTTCCATCTGGCAAGGATGAGGTTTCTGTTGGCATGCAGAAAATTCAACATGCCAGTCTTGGCATTGAGTTTCTCATTGGAAGCTTCCATTCCAGTAAAGTGTACTACAACAAGCTAAATAATTGGATGAAAATCATCTGATTATTTATGTTTTAAAAAGTCAGAGCCTTACCACTGCTTAATACTCAGAAAGAAGATTTAGAAGGGAAGTAGATATATTAAGTCTGGTCTTAAGATAAATAAGAGAGGGTACCTAAACTCTGGGAACAGCATTACTACTATACATTTTCATTGCTAGCAGCACTAACCAGACAATAGGTGTGGAAATAACAATTAAGTTGAAAAGCCTGACTACTTACAACATCAGTATATGAACTTCTGTCTTTTCCCCGCTGTTTATGTCTAAATTTATAAAGAATACAAGAACATTTTGCATCTAATATTTGACAGATCCTATTACAATTTCTTCCTCCTCATAGTGTACTTAACAATGCATACAGGAGAAAAGGGCAAGGAATTAATCAGAATGCCAAAAGAGTCGGGTTACACAGTATGTAGAAAGCACTTCAGCTACATTATTTGCACAATTTCTGTAGGGAGTTGTGAAATAGAAGTCTTAAATTTAAAGTGTCTGGCCTACTTCCACCTGGATTCACTTCAAATTCGTTGCCTGCAGCTTGCTGAATACAAAGTGGCAAATCAGTCATTACATTAAGAACTGATGGCAAATTATTCCAATTCACATTTTTCAGCTGCCATGTTTTTTAACCTGGAGCAATACCAAATTGAAAAATTCTGCAAGCTGGGCATAAAAGCTGTGCTGTAGACTAAATACATTTCCAGTTCTATGAAGTCAACAAGAGGATTTTTCTCCAGCATTTTTCCAGTTGCTATGCTACCCACTGAAGTTGCAAGGCATACCAAATCATAGCAGCCTTCCAGTATCTGAAGGGGTCCTATAGGAATGCTGGGGAGAGACTCTTCATTAGGGACTGTAGTGATAGGACAAGGGGTAACGGGTTAAAACTTAAACAGGAAGTTTAGATTGGATAAAAGGAAGAAGCTCCTTACTGTAAAGGTGGTGAGGTACTGGAATGGGTTGCCCAGGGAGGTTGTGAATGCTCCATCCCTGACAGCATTCAAGGCCGGGTCAGATGAAACATTGGGTGGCATGGTTTAGTGTGAGGTGGCACCCCCCAATGGCAGGGGGGTTGGACCTAGATGATCTTAAGGTCCTTTCCAACCCTAACTATTCTATGATTCTATGATTCTAACTCTCATCCTGTTCTTTTTCTCCCTGCTACCAGTCAGTGTCAAAGCTGCCCAGCTCCTGTGATCTATGGTTTAGAATCCACACAATTTCAATGCGTTTATAAATGCCTGATGTAGACTTAAACACTATTCGCTGCAAAGGTAAAAATGTACCTCTGAAATTAACCTGCTGCACTTTCTGATTTGAAGCACGCATTTTGATTCTATGACATTGCCAGAAGTTGTGTATTTTTCTATTCTCTATCAAAAATTGAGCGATCACTCAAATGTCTTTCAATAGGTTATAGAGATATAACCCTACCCTATAAAGCACTGATACACATTTTTCACTTAACTTTTTGAGCAAACTCTGACAATATCTAGAGTTTATGGACATGACTGAAAATTTTACTGCCAGTCTTATATAGAGGAAGGCGTAGAAAGGAAATCTGCCAACCCTGAACTCTGCAACTTTAATCTGCATACCCTAGTGGCCATTGAACACTAGATGTATTGAAATCTGTATTGATTTTGTGATACTGACAATTGAAATTTACGAGCTACAAGAGAATATTTTAATAATGTCACAACAGCTCCAAAATAAGTTTCCAGTGTATCATATATTGAACTTCATATAGAAAACTCAATTAAAAAAAAAAAAAAAGAATTCTAATTGGTGGCTATCTTTCTTCCCTTTAATCGATGCAGTCTGAGCAGATACAACTTTTATTCGTGTAAGAATTTAGTGCATACCCTCTATCAACCCCATAAAAGTATTTCTACATTTTGTGACAGCATAAAGGCAATGGACAATTAATTTGAGCTTATCTTTCACAGAAAATGCAACTGAGACAAATACATTACTGGATACATTCAAGAGTGCCACTTGAATTAAATCAGTTTTGCCTGGACAGTTTTATAAGATTCTTCAAATAATATACGTAGCTGACCAAGCAAGTGGTTTCTATCAGTATCTGTTCTTGTATTTCAGTAAAAATTTGTATGTTCAGATAATTCTGGTTATAAATAAGTATGAAAACATTGGTCAATGTAACACTTTCTATCAGTAGATCTCAGCATATGAAGGTAGATCTTATCATCCATGTGGAAAATTGGAAAAGGAAAAAGGGAAAAGGGGAGGGAAATAGGGAGGAGAAGATTTCCTGGAGATCATAAAGTGAGCAAGTGTTAAAGTTAGGAATGGAAAAACAGACTGAAAAGTGAAAGAGAACTGCCTTGGGTATACAGCTTTGTCATACCTTTATGTTGAATGGAAGTTCTTTGCCCAGCTGTTCCATCAGAAAAATACTACCAAAAGGAACTTGATCTAGGCAAGAAAAGGGTCAGCATTCTTCCCATACTTCCTACAATGGCCCTTGGTGGGATAAACTTTCATCTGTTCCAGGAATAGTGAAACCAGTGTCTGTGTTTGCACATTGAGGTACCTTTCCAATAAAAAAAAAGGCAGAGATTTAAGTGTTGTTTTTCAACAGAAAGAAAGAGAAAGATAAAGAAAACATAACTCCATTACCTTTTCATTGGAAATGTCTCAAAAACTACATGGATTTCAGCACAAATACAACACCTGTAGAAATTATGTGGTTTTAGATATGATTTTCAACTTAAATCTGGCATGGAAAACTTAAAGGAAAAAGGTGCTTTTTAAACCATTTTTTACTTAATAGCAACAACTGTGACAGTGACACAGTGAAAAGCTCTGTTTATGTTAGAGAGGGGCTGGCAACTCAAATCCAACTGCCATGGAAACGTCAAGTTGAAGCATTCTCAGTCAGAAAGCTAAGATTTGGTTCAGGGCCAAACCCAGAATGTTCTATTCCCAAATTTCATCCAGATGCAGCCCAAAATGAATAGCAGTCTTGTGATAAAAGCTTCTATTGTGGGAAAGTCACATATGAGATGCTTTGTTAACCCAAACCATGCATTTGTGCTGGTGAAGTCAGTAGAAAAGTGTAACTGTCTGTCAAAATCCTGCAAAGAAAGGGACCATGATAAACCATATCAAAGAGCTAGTCACACATTTTGGTGCAGTTGCAGGACATGAAGAAGTTATGTACATTACATGTTTGTTTTTCACAGTGGTCTCTGCTTATGCAGCGTGTCCAGAATCTGTTCTCAGGCACAACTATAATTCCTTCTCCCTGTTGATTAAATGATGTCAGGTAAGACTTCCACTCAATAAAAAACATTAAAAATATTCAATGTTTTTCTGAATAAGCAGCAGTGGAATATCAAATTCTATATTTGAATAAAATAAAAATTTTCCTTATGATGACTTTTTTGTGTGTTTTAAACTGGAATTAAAACAATATACGGAAGAACTGTATGAAAAGTTAATGCTGGCATGTACAAAAAGCAATAATCTTTCTTGAAATGTACTTTAACTTCCATTTTCTCATGCTGATGATACCTCTTACTAGTAAAAAAATAAAAGCTTGATCAAACAACAGTGATTTATGAACATATTTGGCCCAGAGAGTTTGCTTTTTAGATCTTTGTTCTGAATTATGCACATATTTGTTTGACATCCACTGATCTGCCAGTGAATTCCTTTGCAAATTAAAGCTTCCACACAGTGAAAGAACACATTATATTTTTCCAGAACAATGTCTAAAAGGAGATGCTCCTGAGAATCCAAATTAAGTCAATTGCTTAATTTTGTTATGCTCAGTTCTTTCAAGTGTTTCAGACTCACCAAGTTTCTAGCTTGTTTCTGGAAAGGCTAAGTCTTCCATAAATTGAAGAGTCTTCATATACTAGCTAAGACTTTCTGACCATATAAGAATACGCCTGGAAATTAAACCTAGAGAAAAAGCTTCATGTCCAATTACAAGCATGTTTTTGTTTCTTCCACTATATAAATATATCAATTTCATGAACTGATTCACCTATATTTTTGAAATCTAATACATGAAAAATGTCCTAGATATAAATTAAAACAAAGTAAAATTTTTAGCATTCAGAGATGTCTGTTTCTTCTGTGTGCAAACCATTTGTCTCAGAAAGGCAACATTCTCAATAATCTCCCTGGTAAGACTATATTCCTTATATTTGGCCCATCTTGCTCCACTTTATTAACCTATGGCAACCAAAGTTTGTTAGAAAACTTGGCTCATTATTTTGTAGGTTTTTTTTTTTCTCAGCCAGCCAAATCTGTTTTTCATCAAGGCTGATGAAATCCCACAGTTTATAAAATCTGCCCTCAATGTGTTTGCACAAGTGTGATGTTTGGTTTTAAGAAGCAATTCGGTATCTCTAGTTTCACCTTCTTTTATGCTTCAGTGAACAAGCTGGAAGAACAAAGAGGCCAAATTCATTCCAGAAGTAATTCCATTTACTGAAGTTGACTTTTTTTTTAAAAAAATATGGTCTGACGAGTTCAGTCTCAGACCCCTCACATGACCGTATACCCCAAAACCCCAAAAATCTGCTAGGAAATTATTCCCTTTTGGCTGTACCTGGAGGTATGAACAGATGTTTTCTTTCATTGTTCATGTTAGAGAACATCAGCAGTACCCTGATGACTAAAGTACATTTCATCTTTACCTATTACTTTGCTTCTTACCACAAATGATGCAAGTTTTCATCTGTTGATGTGTCTCCTTGAGATTTTTAGAGGTTGCTGTCAGTCTGGTAAAAACATAATCAAAGAATCAGGCACACATACTGTCCAATACAATTTTGGTTTGTTCGGTGGTGGTTTTTTTTTGTTTTTTTTTTTTGTTTTTGTTTTTTTTTTTTTGACATTAGGATAATTTCAGCAATTGATAATTTGCATCAGACTCCATAAGCAAATGAGAACAAACAATTTATCTTCTAGAAACTAGCAATGGTCTTTGGCTCTTGTGATCTAACTGATGTTGTAATTACGGTCAGAAACCATTGTGCCAAGTTTTAAATTTTCAGATAAGCTTTTCACAGTTCACAGCAATATTTTAACAATGGAACTAACAGCAATCGGTAAACTTGGAACAGAAAGCTGAATAGATGACATATCAAAAGCCTGAGCCCTGGCACTGCAGTTTTGAATGGAGTTTTGAGTGCCAGAAGCTGTGAAAATCCTTGAACAGAAACATGCCCTGACATTTCATTCAGTCTTTCCTCTTACCTAGGTATAAAATAATACTTATTTTTCTCCTTGCTTTTAATATTATGTGATTTATACCCACACAAAGTATATTTTTTTCTAATACATATGCAGTTAAGCCAGAATTTGCCTTTTGTTGTTCCTTGGTTGTATTCAGTCTGGGTGGTATGGAATACCTTTTACACTGTATTCTCTCCTTACTGATGAAAGCCACATAAGTCTTTAAAGGATCACTACAATCAAAGATACCAAAGTGAAAGGATTTACTGCTGAACCTCAAATAAAAAAATGACAGACTGTGCTTCCAGCAATACAGTTACAAAAATGCTGTGTAACTTTACTAACTTTTTTATTCTTCTAAATGCAACAATGTATTAAAGTACTGTTACCTGCCATAAAACCTATAAGATGTTGCTGATCACCATTTCTGGTGATTGTTACACAAACTGTAACAATTTCAAAGCAATTATCATCTTTATGTCTTGCTCTCTCAGGATATGTAGCTTCAGGACAGATGACGGATAACTGAATTTTTTAGATGTTTCCATAAGCAATAATTCAGAGTCTGAAGGGAAAGTAAAACCAGTATTTTTTGGCATGGTACTACACCAGCATTTATGGTATAATACTTACCTGTTCTTAAAAGTTGGTTGAGGTCTTATTTATATTTTAAACATTGTAGACTTCGCACTGCTTGTTAAACAGAAGAAAATGGGTGATAGATAATGAGGCATAAGTTTGCCAGGGGTAACGATCTAGAATAATCTAATGTGTTTGTACTTTGAGCTGAAGTTCTGGCAATAGTTATCACTGAGCTCACCTTAGCAGCACCTATAGAAACCAGGGAAGTAGCTTTGATGCCAAGCAATCCCATACGTACATTGAGGTTGTGTTTATTTTCTCTTTTTCCCTCCCTCATTTTCAACATTTGTATGTCTTCTACTGTGGCAGACTGAGAGTTCTTTTAAGATATAGTGAATATACACTCACTATGCCCCCTAAGAGATAAGAAAATAACCAAGCCTTATCATGCACAGTCGAATTTGGGTTAGAAGTATACAGCCAGTTTATGGAAGAACTGAGATCAACTAAATAAAAGTTCATTTGTCCCAAGGTTTCTGGCTTACAGAAAGGAACTGAGAAAGGAAGAAATAAAAAGAACTAAAGACAAAAAATTGCCAAAAACACATATGAAGGGATTTTATTTGTAAAAACTTTACTGGTAGGTTGTCCAGCTTAGTCAATCTATAGCAGCCTAACAAAATTTAGCAAGCATATAGTTATACCAAATCATCTCTAGAACAAGTTTTGGGATTTTATTTTGTGGTTTGTGGTTTTTTTTTTTTAGTTTATTTGTTTGCTGTTGTTTTTGTTGGGATTTTTTGGATTTTAGTGTTTTGGGTTTTTGTGCTTGTGTGTGTGAATTTTTTTTTTAAAGATGAAGAAAATGCAGAAAAATATTTATTTAATTTTCCACAGGTAATGGCTATTTTTAGCAGAAATACTTAAAAGCCCACTTCTGTGAAAAGTATTTTAGTTCAGAAGCAGTAACTTTCCCCAAAATAAAAAAAAAAATAAATCCTGTGATACATAATGCTTTTCTGCAAATGTGTCCGTATGGAAAATATATTGCTCACAAAAGTTATATATCTTATTAGAGAAATCACTGTTATGGCTGGGCAAGACAAAACAGAATTCTGAGGATTTGAAATCTGGATTAATATTTGGGACAAGAATGTGTTTTAAATCCACAGCATTCAGATTTAGAAAGGTTGAGGAGATTATTTATACTTAAATCCTGTGAGCCAGGGGGGCTTGTATTTCACCCAGTTTTGTATGACAGACATGAGCTATTTTACCTATTTAAACTCGTATACAAAGCACAAATATATAATACAAAAGTAGGTGGAAACAAACTTAATTTTTTTTTCCTACATACCCCCTCCAAGTCAGTTGTCATAAACCAGACCAGAGACTAGTGTCTTGCCTAAGCACATCACTGGTCAGGCCTTGCTAAGGCACACACTGCATGTTTAAGCTAAGCAGCTTTGCCAGATATTTATTCCTTTAACCACAGGGTTGTGCTGACTAATTATCCAGACCAGTATAGGACCCTGATTTGTGACATGCATAGGCCCCCTTTAACACACTTGCCCCCTACGTGTGTCCAAGCTAATGTATTTAAATCTAACTCAAGTATATTCTCCTAGACACACTAATAACTGAATTGCAGGAAGACAAAACCCTGGTGCACCAAAGATACTCATAAGAGCATTAGATGTAACAATAAGACCTGTTACCCAAGTTACTCAGGAAATTAAGCTAGGTGAGAGGGGTTTTTTTAACAACTATGACCAAATCAGTGCTGATGAAAGCAGGGAATGTGAAAGTGACATACAAATAACAAAGGCAGAATCACCATGCTAAGATTTTACCATGGCATTTTATTCATAGAACTTGGGTCATCCAGAAAAGTCTGGTATGTGCTACATTTAGCATTTGCCATTGTTTCATCAAAATATAATACTATACAAAATGCCAAAATAGAAATTAAAACCTAAACTGATAAAGTCCTTAACAATCCATTTATAGCAGATTAATTACATCAGTGTAATCAAGCCCTGAGCATCTTTAGAAGAAAATCTTGCTTGATTTCCTCTGGAAGTTTTCCAAGGTAGCTCTTTTTGGAAGCAGAAAAACCCTCCTGTGAATGTGAACAAAAAAGAGATGCAAATCCCCCAGATTTGCTTTTACTGTAAGATCATTAGTTGGATATCACCAAATGTTTATTTTTTTTCACAGTTATAGCAATGTGTTTGCAATGAACAGTATACATGACTTTTTATTTTTCTTTCAGAGCACCACTACCCCATCACACACCCCACCCCTGATTACAAATCGTGTATGCTGACTGGCTCAGCTCCTTTTATTTTGGTGAACCAAGGAAATTCTCTCTCTTCATAAAAACTAACATGTTAGCACATTTTAATCAGTTCTTCTAAGCAACTTTGACTACAAATAAGTAAAATAAAATTCCCTTTACTACTGTCCTGGGTTCAGCAGTAGCAGTCATTTTTCTCCTTCTTAGGAGCTGGTGCAGTGCTGTGGTTTTGACTTTCAGCCTGGGAACAGTGCTGATGACACCGATGTTTTTAGTTGCTGCTCAGTAATGTTTACTCTGATCAAGGACTGAGTCTCATGCTCTGCCAGGGAGAAGGGGAAGCCAGGAGGAAGAAGAGACAGGACACCCGACCCAAACTAACTGAAGGAGTATTCTGTACCACAGCACATCATGCTCAATGTATAAACTGGGGGGGGGGGGGGGGGGGGGAGTTACCTGGAAGCACTAGATCGCTGCTTGGATCGGGCTGGGTATCAGTTGGTGGGTGGTGAGCGATTGTATTCTCTTCCCTTGTTATTACCCTTATCATTATTGGTTTTGGTGGTAGCAGTAGTGGTTTTGTGTTATACCTTAGTTACTGGACTGTTCTTATCTCAACACATGGGAGTTACATGCTTTTGATTCTCCTCTCCATCTCTCTTGGAGCAGGGCAAGGAAGAAGTGGGGGGACCGAGTGAGTGGCTGCGTGGTACTGAGTTACCGGCTAGGCTTAAACCAGAACACTTCTTTATGGTGCCCAACGTGGGGCACAAAGGATTGAGATAATGACACATCTGCCCAGAGTGTTTCTAATCGCATTTGTGACTAGCATTCATTGTTCTGGATTGATAGTCACTCATCACAATGTTGATTTATTTGCTCTCAGGGTTGTTGCGCTTGGTCTCTGAGTTTCAGCATGTTGTGCCTTACTTGCAGCCTGTATTTGCTGGTTTAGTGCTTATCAGCTGGTGGGCCTGGGCTAAGGTTATTGTTTTGCTGTACTTCATGGCAATGACTTGTAACAATAGACTCACTGAACATCAAACTGAGCTGGTATGCATCCTTACCGTGCTAGTCACCTCTATACAATGGGAGGCATGCAATGGGAATTTTTAACAATTACATATCTTTCTTTTTGCTTCCCCTGGGGGCTCAACCTTTGAAGGAGATGTTCCCTGAAACCCTCTGCTCCCCCACCAGGCTATTTACAGTAGGAGTAGATTCTGGAAAAGTTAAAGATCCTGAATATCTTTTCAATACCCTTGAAAGCATCCTGCTCCTTTTGCTGGGAACCAGCTTATTGCTGCATATACTTTCTATGTTTTACCCACAGCCATCCCACCCTGAAAATGGCCTATTTCATTCGATCTTGAAAGTTAAGCAGTGTCCGGCTTGGGTCTTGTCTAGGATTAAACAACAATATCTGAAGATCACCAAGAGATTTTCCCCTAAGCTGAACAGTCGTGAGTGGCAGGGTGTGTGGGATCATATGGGCAAGTATCTAGTCCAGTGGGCCCCTTCAGTGCTTTCAAAGAGTTGGAGATGGAAGGTACACGGAGTCCCCTATGACAAGCTGCAGAAACTGCCTTGGACATTGCTGAACAAGAAAAATGGCCAGTACTTTATCTCTATACTGACTCATGGATGGTGGCAAATGCCCTGTGGGGGTGGTTGCAGCAATGGAAGCAGGGCAACTGGCAATGCAGAGATAAACCCA